ACGAGGTGTAAGTCCGACCTTGTGACCTCCACGTGATACATCTTGGGTAACGCTGACACAGCATCGACTGTTCAAGATTTTGATAATTAGGAATCTTTAAAAATCGATGTACACGACTACAAATGAATCTAAAGGTAGAATTCAAATTCACCAGCAGATGGATGCATCATAGCTATAATAAATACCTAGTATTGTTTGAACTATTTTTTGTACAAACACATCCATATCTTTTAGAAGGTTGGTACGGGTGCTCTAAAAGTAATTTGACCTCCACATGACCTCTAAGAGTAATTTTGACCTAGGCTTGATAACGTATTCGGACGTAAAATTTTCCGCTATTTTCATTTGTGATGTCATGAATAAGGGTTTACATTTGTAAAACGGTACTTTGACCTTGAGTTATGCCCAAGGTCGACCTCAAGGTCAAATTCAAGGTCACCATCGGATAGATCTCCCGAAATCCTGTAAATTTTGTCTGAACCATTTTTTTGTACAAACACATCCCTACCTTTTAAAAGGGTGGTACGGGTGCTCTGAGACACCCAGTATATTTTCAATACATTTTGTAACGTGCAATTCTTAATATGTTGTCCACATCGCATAGTATTAGCAACATCTAGATTAGTTAAAGATTCCATGTCTTCGTACATGCATCCAAGATCTTGACGTACATTCGGTCTCGCTCATCGTCCAGAAGCAAGTTCCACAGCCACGTTCATTTCTCACGTTCCTTGACGTATATGATAGCATCATCTTCAAATACAGCCGCCGTGATCGGGCGTTTCGCCTCGCTGTACGGAACCATCCCATCCGTCCATAGCAATCCATGTGATAAGCACTCAATCAGGAAGCGCAAGACCTGTCAAATCTTGTCAAAAATTTCCATGGGACTCGTAAAAATCTAATGCGTAAGAACGATCCTCTGTTTCAGCACTGTCACTTCCTTCACGATAAATTTCTTGTCAACGATGAATCCCTCCTTGTAGATCCACGAACGTTAGCACGGTCATATTGTCGAGAAAATTGCAATCGATTGCAGCGTATCATAGATTTTATATCGTCGGAGGATGCAGTTAGGTTTTGCGCACACATTGATCAATGGATTATACTGAACTATGCGATCATGTATGATGAAATAATAGCTGTTGTATTTGCGAGCACGTTCTTCTTACATTTAAAGTCTAATCGCACATTCACGGTGCCACTCTTGACCGATTCGTTCTGTCGAGAACAATCGATGATTACGAACGGACCATTACGTAAAAAAATTGTAAAGATGAGACTCGGCTCGAGATACTCGTATCCATAGTAGCCCTTGCAGAAATGCGCATACAAAATCGCACATCTGTTTTTATCAAAATCCAGATTCAAATCATTGTACGGATTCCGAGTTCAGGTAGAGTTTCGCATTGGTTAATTTAGTAATCAAATTGACTTATATCTTCGGATGTTTTGTCAACCTGTTTACAAAGCGAAAATGACGTAGCTTGGCATCTCGAGCTGAGTAGACGTCTTGATGGCCCACGAATGCTTGGTTGTCTGCAAGAGAGAAACTCGTACAGATCTCATGAGCGAAAAGCCATGCTTAGATATCGTCCGCTCTCCAAAGCGTCACTAGCTTATTTATCTCGCTCAATAATACATGTGATATTCGCCACTGTACTTTGAATAATTCGAGTATCGGCTCTGTCACCGGATCTCCCGGCAAACAATTGTTGTCGTTGCGCACTCATATCAAAATCAACTCATGACGAGCATTGATTACCACACGTTTGTAATCCTCACAAAATCCCAGTAGTACGTAAAGGAGTACACAGAAATTAATGTATCCAGCCACAGTCCGACCTTCCGCAGAAACACGCTTCTGTCGGACGATACTGTTACATAGTTTTTGAGCGTGCTAATTATGCCAACGTTTCTGTTACGGTCAATCTCCACACGTTGAATTTGTATCGAATCTCATCTAATATGAACGCAACGCAATTATTTCTCAATGCCACATTAGCGTCCTCGACCACTTTGTTCTTTGTCAGTTTTCCTTCGACGTATAGAAAACGTTCGTACGGCAGTATGTACAAATCCTGTTGCGGTATTCTTATCTCGTCGCTGTACCCGAACGTTGTGTTGGCGAATGGGTACGTGTGAGTCTTAATCTTGTCGATGCGATCGTTGAAGATCGGCTCAACTTTAACGTTTAGGATATCAGTCATCTCAAATGTTGTGCACTGCGAAATCCCAAAGACTTTAAAAATTTAACGTTCAACGCGCTGAGCTTCTTCCTGATGCAACTAGATGAGCGAATGTTATAGAGTTGTGACGTCACCGGTCTTGTAAAGAATACTCTCTGCGTGTGTTCCATTCCGTTCAGCATGAGCATCTCCCGTTCGCATTATCACTGTGCAATCTAATGGTGATCTCGTCGTACGTGCAATCTAACGGTGATCTCTTTTTTTTCAAAATCGAGCAATTGTCCATTCTAATCGACGACGCGTATCGTTAGATCCGTAATGCTCCGTACGATGATCGGCAGGTAAATGATCTGCGCCGGCCTCTCTGATATTTTATATTTTGACGGCACGCGCGGCGAAAATTCATGTATCGTGTGCACGCTTTTATCGTACGCGCTCGCGGTCATGTTACATTCTACACGGATAACGTTTATGTTCATTATGTTGATCGACGCCCGATTCGTTCCATCCTCGCGGTCACAGTATACGCTTCGACGAGAATCGCTGCAGCGATCCTACGCTGTTGGGCTTTCCAAAGTTTATTCTATATGCACATCTAATCTCACATTTCATCATGTAGTTTGCGCGAAGCGTTATCGGGTATTCTCCGTCGTCATCGCCATCGTTGTTGTTGCTGTTGTTGTTATTGTTGTTTTTACTACGCACTACGGTTTCAAACGCGTCGCGGCACGGACGTTTTCGTAAAATCGCGCATTTCAAAAATTCATTTATGTCTCGCACTTCGTACGAATCCTCGGGAATCAGGAGACGTGATAGTGTCTTTGGCCATGTTAAAAAAAAAATTAAAAGATATAAAGACACTACAAGTCTCTTATCCCTAGCCATCAAAGTTCATTGTTTTGGGGGTGTAGAACTTAAAACAAATTTTAAACGTAACATATCCTGAAAGGCGGCATCGCCACGAGTAATTTGAGCCGAAAGAAATAAAAATCGGTCAAGTCGTTCTGGACATGCAAGCGGTCGAAAAGTGATTTTCGTGAAAAATGAAGTAATGTCTTCTTTTTCTTCTTCTATCCGCAATCACATGCATCTCTCTTCTCTTTAACCTTTCACTCACACCTTCGATCAACTTCATCACCTCCCCCCATCCCTCCTCCTCCTCCACCCTCTTTTGGCTCCTATCTTTTTCACCTTATCTCACTCTCTTTCGTCTTCTCTCACCTTCGTCTGCTGAAAATATCCGATAGTCACTCAGGGTTGTGACCTTGACAATGTGAGTCAAGGTCGTATTAATTTTTTTGTATAACTTCTTAACGTGAGATGGGTGACTGCTTAACCTTCCGAAGGAAATGTAGTGGGAAGACAAGTATCGTATGCCGCAGGTCTATGTTAATAACTCCAGATTGAAAGTTAAGTAAAAATTACCGAAATATGATGAAAAGGCTAACCAAAGTTTGCATATAATTATAAAGAACTAAGACAAATTAAAAATAACAAACGGCATTTCGAGCCCGATTAGGTCATTCTCAATGTTATGTATAATTACAAAGTGATAAGTATATATATGTATATATATATATTATATATTATATATATATATATATATATATATATAACTCCTTTTATTATATGTGTATTTTTTTATAACGTGTTCTATACTTGTTGCGATATGTTAATTTAAAGCAAAGATTATTATTGTTTCAGGAAACATTTACACCAATCGCTAAAGGTCTTCCGTCCATGGTAGAAGTTTTAAAAAAACAATTGACCTTATCCGAATCAACCGTACGAGATCTTCGCGAGCAGGTACACACCCTGCAAACTGCCATTGAGCAACTCACTCAAGAGAACAATGAGTTAAAGCATATGCTACAAGTAATTATTACAAAATATTGGAGATAACGTTATCTATTTTATAATGCATCAATGTTCAATCGCATGATAAATGCTGTAAATAAAAATTTGATTAATTTAGATCAAAGGTTCCAGTGATGGAAACATGAATGGGCATGTTGTTGGAGAACAGGAACCTGAATTAGAGCCAGTACATGATATCAAAACGTCTACTATACGTGGAAATCAACGACCAGCATCTATGTATGAGACTAGAGAAGGTCTACGAAAACCAGCATGGTCAACAACCATTTGTCAAGTAATTATCTTTTTTTTTTTAACAAGTTGACAAAGTATATCCAATTTTTTTAAATAAGAAAAATCCTATACTTGATCGAAACGGATCTTGTACTTAAATATATTTTTTTTGTGAATTTATATACATTCTGATTCTACATATTGCGCACCGAAATGTTTTCCTGAACTTAAATAGGGTGTCCTCTATCTGGAAAAGCCTGGAAAACTTGAAATTTTCAGGGAATTTTGTTGAAATTGGGACAGTTTTTCAAATTGTATTTTTAAACAATAAGATCGGCCGGGAGTCGAACCCCGGGGAAAAATATTGTCTCGGTAGTCTAAAGGCTCAGGACGCTCGCACGGAATGCAAGAGATCCGGGTTCGACTCCCGGCCTAGGCAATATTTTTTCGCAATAAGTTTATTACAGTTTTTTAAGATTAATTTGGGGAACTTTGGGGGGATTATTAACATTTCAGATCAATTGCGTTAATGTTGACAACCATATCGACACGTAATTATTATTTCTGAAATTAATTCATTCGTTTGAAAAATATATATATTAGTTCAACATCTTAATACTTAGACCGTAGTGGCGCTTCGGATTTAAAGTAATGTATTTTTAAATTTAAATTCTATTTTGTTTGATTAGATCCTAATGCCAGATAGTAGCCGATCAACTATTTGTAGTATGCTAATAGCATGTGAAGGAATAATACATGGCTTACAATAGAAGTCGTAGTGGTCGTAAAGTCTGAAATCGTAAGAAATTGACCAATTGCAGTCGAATGTGAAGAGAATGATCGACTATAATTGGTTAATTTCTTAGGATTTCAGATTTTAGGATCACTAAATTTCTATTGTAGATCTCGCATATGCTGCTTCTACAATAAGTCTGTAGTCGGTAGTCTTAAGTCTTACCAGTGAATCAGTGAAGTTGGTCAAATTGTGTACGACTAAAAATGCCTTTTCATACTGATGCTCGACGCTCATTTTTAGCATCAAATAGATCGCGTAATCAAAATTGATGCTTGATATTCATTAATTTTTATCATGTTATCTATTTTGACGCTAAAAATAAAGATCGACCATCAATATGCTGAAAAAGCACTTTAAGTAAGACCGATTTTCTTAAGACTGGCTAAATTCGAATTTTAGAAAATGTTCAGAAGAGAATTGATGCACTTAATGAACAAATTCAAGCTTTAAAAAGATAGATTTTAGTATTTTGTGTTGTCTAAATGTTATCTACTTATAAATATTATTTATATATCTTTTGTTTTTTTTTAATATAAGAATTATATTTATTATATTGTAAACAAGTTATATTTATATAGGAGAGACCATGAGTTTTGTAGTATTTATTATTATACACAAAAATTCAAACTCTTAAAAGTGCATCTAAGTATAAAAATGTTTGTATCATTTTTTAAAAATAATTAAATCATAATACATATTTTAAATTTTAATAAGTATATTTATATATGTATATTTTGTATATAAGTATATTATATAAGTATATTTATAATGTTTTTATTTTTTTCTTAAAAACTAATAAATATTTAGTAAATGTTTAAATTATAAATGTTTAGTAGTTTTTAAGAAAAAAATAAAAACATTTCTTAAGAAATGATCCATGGTGCCCCATACCCGGGGTATCATAAGTCACACACAAAATAATAGGATTATGCAAGAAATAACAGTGACTAAAGTTGAAAAGTATTTTCAATTAATTTACACATTTTTAGTCACTAATATAATAAAATATAATTATAATTAACAATTATTAAATAATAAAATAGAAAGTTATAAGAAAACAAATGAGAAACCTTTAATATAAGGTAAAAAATTTATTACGATAAAATAAAATTAATTGTTTAGAAGTATAAGCTGCCCTTTAAGTACATATATTGTACTTTCTGTTAGAGATACACTGGATATCCGGAAAGTATCCGATATTATCCGGCACCTTTTTACTATCCGACCAGATAGTCGGATATCATTAGTATCAGAATAGATTCGGTTGAAATTTGATATTATTCAATTGTTGATTTTTTCTTATACAAATGTTATAAAAAACAAGTATGCATATTTATGATGCTACAATATCTTATACATTGTTGCAAAATTAGGTACAATTTTTTTCTCTAGGCTTTTTTTTTAGAAGACACTTTATTGAAATCCGGTCAGAATATCCAAAAAATTGCCTTCTTGAATATCCGTTCGGATATTCTATATTACATTCTGTCGGGATATCCGATATTTGGTATCCGGTAATTTTACGATCTGATGCATCCCTATTTTCTGTATACATTCCGTTTCATCATGAATATTTAATGTATGACCCATGATACCCCAATTATGCATTTAATTATACATTTAATAATAGAAAACTATAAAAAATAAATGTTAGATTATTACTTGTAACGTAATGAATTGAGAAAAGATGCGCAGAAACTTGCTCTTTATCTTCATACATATATCTTTTACTACAAAAACATTTTTATGTGATTAAAAAGTTATTATTGCACCATATTGAAAATCATTAATGATCGATCCTTTTCGATACAATGGAATTTAATCACTGCCACCTAGATAAAAAGTATGGGCAACGTAGTAACAGTCGTATTGTACCAGTAGTATTAATTTAAATATTCTAGATTATGTTAAACAATCGATGATTTATGGTATTCTGTGATCTATGGTGCCCCGGTTTCCCCTATATAATTTTTGAACTATTTATTGGAATGTTTCTAATGTAACAATATCTCTAATCTTACCTGAAATTTCGAATAAAATTCATGGAAAAACCTGAAATTCTCAGGGAATGTTTCTAAGATTTGAGTACCCACCCTATAATAAAATACATTCATGAGTAGAACCAGAATAGTAATATCACTTGTTAAACAAAATGATTGGATATAATAGGGCAATAGAAGGGCAAGCACGATAATTCTTGTGTAAATCAATATGGTTAAACAACTTTATTAATAATTAATCCGCTTACATGTTTCGGCTCATTTTTGAGCCATCCTCAGAGACAATATGATGTAATTACAAAAAATTGTTTTTACAAACTAATTAATTTCACCTGCCCCTATTAACGGAAATTATAATATAAAAAACGAACTCTAATAACAATCTAAAATGTATTAAAATTATTAAAAGATAAATTTGTTGGGGGAGGGGGAGGGGGGGGCAAAAACGATTTATTGATAGAAGGTAGCTCACTAAAACAAAAATTCAGCACATCGCAAACACTTTATTCGGTTTAGTCAAAAATCAGTCCTTGATCATTCAGCGAATCAGTGTCAATTATGTTGAAATTAATGAATAACTTTTAATACACCTAAAACGTTAATCGCAAAAAAAAAAGGAAAAAAGAAGGGAAAAAATTCTGATATTAATTATAGTCCAGACGGACATTAAAATCAAAACTGAATTTTTAATAATTATTTAATCTTAATGTAACAAAGAATGTACACTGATTCAATCAGAAAGATTCAGTTTTGGTTTTTAGATTGTTATTATTATAGAATTCGTTTTTATATTATAGTTTCCGTTAATAAGTGGAAGTGGCTCACTGAAATGAATTAGTTTGTAAACAAAATTTTCTGTAATTACAACATTATATTGTCTCTGAGGATGGCTCAAAAGTGAGCCGAAACATGTAAGCAGATTAATTATTAATAAAGTTATTTTGTTAACCATATTGGTTTGCACAAGAATTACCGTGCTTGACTCCTATTGCTCTGTTATATCCAATCACTTTGTATCATTATGGAGTCTTTAGGAATTAATTTATCTTTAATATCACTTATTAAATTGTACAAGCAATTCAATAATTTTTTTATGCTAATAAACATCTTTTAAGAATATTAATTGTCATATGTTGACGAAATCTAAAAACTGTGAATAATTTATTGCGAAAAATATTACTTCGGCCGGGAATCAAACTTATCAGTAATCAGTCGAAAAAGACTTGTGAAGTAAAAATAGACTATGCGCATTGAGTAAAAATTAGTAAACGCACTTTACATGTCTTTTATGGTCATTTACTGACTCAAGGGAGATAAGGATGGTTTTCATTCATTTTTATAAGTGTTTTAAAGCGATTTGATCATCTTATCCAAATTCTCTTTATTTACAAATGAACGCAAGAAAAGTCAATGTGTCGCTTATGACACATTTCTCGCTTATGATGTCACGATTCAATATGGCTGGAGCGAGTACTCAGGAGCCTTAAATTATCGAGGCTTATTATATCTATCTACCGTATTTACTTGTATTGTTTCATTTAGACAAAACGCGACACTGAAGTATTATCACGGAATAACACGCAAAGTTTGTGGGAATGTGGCCTACCTAATCTGCCACCCAGTGAAGAAGTAACTCGACGGACAGAACAAGTTACCAGGCGAATTCAAGAGCTATGGATGGCTATGCAAGATCCAAGCCAACGGGAAGCCTTCGTTCCTTGCGCTGAGAGAATACGTGTTGCTGTGGCCGAATTAACAGCTATATTTCCTCAGGTAAAATTACTGTTTATTCTTTTATTTGTTCTTCTCTTTCGCTGGTAGAAGCAATCTCTACTGTATCTGTTGTAGAATCCAATTGAGGAGAATATCAGGTCTGCCTTACGCCAGTTAAATGGCAATACCGGAAGACTTCAAGCAGAATGTTCCGGTCTTCAAAGATGCACCAGTGATGCCGAGCACATGGATCGTTGTTTGCAACAAGTACGTTCATGTGCTTACGATATTGCCAAAGCAACTAAGCTACTCGTCACGCAATTTCAAATGTAGATTCTTTCAATGTCACAGAAAAGTTTACAGAAGTATTAAGGAGTGCCTTTATTTCTTACTGAGTCTATTAGATGTTTTTTCTTTTTGAATCTCTCTTATCCTTAATGGGAGGGTGTGTATTTGGTCTGAAATTAATTGGTATTCGTGAGTTTACTTTAAATTAATATATCTTTGTTTAAAATTAATGTAATTGAACAATTGTTTTTTTATTTTGAAAGTCAAAATCCATGGAATAAGATTATGTAACTTAAAATTATGCAATTTGTAAATTGTGAAAAATATTTGTCATTACAACAATTTTTCACAATATAGTTGAAGAAAATGTCCAGGTCTATTAGATTCGCGAATACCAATTAGAGTATTGATAGTTGAAAAGCTTTATATAAATTTACTTTGCAACAATAATTCATTCATTCATTGTTCTTTTGTCAAGTTTAGTAAATACTAAGCGAAATAATTTTCTCTTTTATTTTTATTATTTTTATTATTATTATTATGAGAGAGAGAGAGAGAGAGAGAGAGAGAGAGAGAGAGAGAGAGAGAGAGAGAGAGAGAGAAGGAAGAGGGAGGAAGAAAGAGAATTATTAAAAATATATTTAAACAATTATGATTGAATACAATCTAACACAGATTTGAAAACATGACATTGTTTGAATATATACAGGGTATTTGATAAATCTTTTGCACAGGGGCAGAATGGATAAACTATTAAAGAGAAGGCTTCTACCATTTTGCAATTTTCTCAATAGTTAATAAGATATTAATTGCTAAAAATTGCTGTTCAATGCTTGAAAATTGGTTTTCAATAATTTTTGACTCAAATCAATGACTCGGGGCGAAATGAAATTTCAGTCCGTTTACGGTCACGGTCAGAGGCTGTACCCAATTTTCGATTTCGATTCCGGTTTCAGTCTTTTTACCGATAACGGTTTCAGTCTTTTTCGGCTCGAAAAAGTCTGAAATCCAAGCAGTTTTGGTTCTTTTACTGATAACGCTGATCATAACCAAATTTGCATTTAAGTTTTTTTCAGTATATGATTATCTACTGTAGAGAAAGGTAATACCAGCATAAATTGTCAGATAATACTTGGCTCCCCACTGGAAACAATAATAGATTCATGGAGACCCTGTGTATACGGAGTGAAGTTATTGGGATTTTTATTGCTGAATAACAAAACAAAATACAGAGCTTGGTTTTCGGCGCGTGCGAACAATAATAAAAAAGGTAAGGTTAGTACGAGAAGGATGCTCACGCCATCTGTCTGGTAACAGATATAATAAAAACAAGAACACGTGATATATATATAGTGGGACTAACGGCATACAATCAACACCCCCTCTTGACGTAGTCTCACTCGATAAAAAGAAGATTACAGCAATGGAGCAGCTTTGCATGGGGTAGAGGCTTCGTTAGCATGTCCGCTGGGTTCTCTGTGCCCGCAATATGTTTAACTTCTACATTGTTGTCTCCAACAGTCTGTCGTAGAAAATTAAAGCGAACATTGACGTGCTTGGTTTTCTTCTTTATTTCCTCGGATTTTGACAGCTTAACAGCCGCTTCATTGTCGCAATAGATTATTATTGGTTTCTCAGAAGACGTTATGAGTTCTTCCAAGAGATCTTTAATCCATATGGCTTGTTTCGATGCTTCATAAGCAGCCTGCAGTTCAGCAACAGTTGTGGAGTCAGCGACAATCGTGCTCTTCCGTGATTCCCAGGATATTGGTCCACCGTTTAATACGAACACATGTCCATAAGTACTTTTAGCAGTGTCCGGACATCCTGCATAGTCTGAATCACAATATCCAACAACTTCGTTTTTACCTTCACCAAACTGAATTCCTACTGACATTGTGCCTTTTAA